ATAAGAAATATTTATTTTTGTTACAATATTAGAGACTATTTTACTGAAGAAAATATGAATTAATTGAGATAGAAATGTTGAGTATAATAAAATATGCTGTTTTTTCTATGTTAACAAAGTCAGAATATGTTCCCAACGTTAAACATCAAAAATATGCATAATAATTGTTAACTGGATGGAAAAATGATGACACATTTACACATTCACTTCAAGTTGACTCCCAATTCAATGTGGGTATTACTCCGGTATTCAGACAATGTCTAAAAGAACAGTCCAGTGTAAAATAATGTGTGCATTTGAATAAGAGTATTTCTGACGAATATATAGATCCCATATTTTTTTAACTCACGTCTTATATTTTTTTCGAAGACAAAGAGGAACTAGAAGTCCTATTTTTCCTAACTTTCATACTATTTCATAAGAGGATTTTAAGACTTTTTTTTAAAGAAAAAAATAATGAGTAGCAATTCACATTGTTCCAAAAAGCAATTACCTACTGGGAGATTGAATCTTGAACCTCACTTACCAATTAGATTACAATCTTCTTGCATTTAGAGAATGATATGTAGTCCCTTTTATGAATCTAAGAGATAATTTTTTATTTCCCATTCCATACTTTTTTTCATCACTTCTCCTAATTGAGGGGCTGGCATATAAAATTTCGATTAAATATTGTAAATCCCTAAGAATATCTTACATAAGTCGCTTTGTAATGTTTAAAAATATACCAAAAAATCTACCTTCTAAATAATATTGTTTGATACATTTTCAGATAAGAATTGTAACGCCCTTAAAATTTAAGCACATTTTCTTTAGAAAATGAATGCATATATTTGTCAATAAAGCTTTAGATAATAAACAATGATTGAAAAATTTATTTTTATTAATAATTATTATTTGAACATACAAGAATATAGAATAGGACTATTATCAAAGAAAGTTCTGAAGTTCAGAAAAATGTGTTATGCTGGATAATTCAACTGTTTATTTTGAATAATTTTACTAATATATATTGAATGAATAAATATTTATATATCCTATTGCATAAAAAAAGGTAACAAAATACTTACAAATTCTTAAATATATATCTAGATTTAAGATTCTAAGTAATGAAAAATACGTATTAAACAAACTAAATGTTTGAAGGCCTTCATCAAGACACATGACGGAACACGTATTGATTGTTTGTTTGTTTATCACGGATGCACTAGGAAGCTCTTTACACTCTGATTTGATTTTAATTTACGTCGCACTCTGAAGCAACAAGAGGGCGATTGACCTTGAAATTTTGAACCACGGTCAAGTGACGAAGACGCCCCTGATTTGGTACTTCCTTTCCAAACTTCCACACCATGCAAATGAAAGGACTCTAAGCCTCGACAGATTTAACGTGCATCAGCTCCGCTACTTGATAGGTTTTCAAGCGGCAAAAAGATTCGAACCCGCAACTCGACAATGACGGTCAGGGGTTCGTGGTCATGGCCTTTCATCTGTTGCGTCTTAAGACTTCTTGAAGGGTTAGGCCCTACACAAATGTAGGCCTCACATATGACCCTTAAGAGAAGAAAGTGCATATACGTCAGGAGTGGCGAGCCTTTATGGCTCAACGTTCCATTTTTTCTAAAGTAGTATATGATGAAATATAGACGTGCCGTCGAATAATTTTTACTTGTGAGTGTTGGAAAAATAATAAAACTAAATACTAACAACTCAAAACTCTTTATTTACTACGAAAAAAATACTTTTTGTACTATATAGTTGTAAATGTTCTAGTTATACGTGTAATTCAAATTAAAATAACAGTGTGACCTCTGTTGTTGCAGATTGTGGATGACAAATAATATTAGGATTGTAAAATGGTACTTTTAGTAGAATGCATGCTGAATTAGAGTCATCTGCCAAATGGTTTCTTAGCAATTAATTATTTTTGTTGCGGTTCACTTTTTTTGACAAGAGGATTTGTGATTTGTTTCAGAATGCCGTTTTACAGACGATGTTCTGCATACCACTGTTGCAGAACGTAAAACACACACCGCTTTGTCGCCTTTACTAATAATGTCATATTTCTAGTTTCCCCCAAGTTTGAAATTCTCTGTTACACTTACTACCTTGCAATTTTTGTTCTTTTGCTGAACTAGACTTATTAAATAAGTGAAGAACATAAATATAACAGAAATAAACTTCAAAATACAGTTGAGTCAACGAAATTGACTATGCTATGCGTAGACAAATTTTGCATCCTAAGCAACTGTAGTCCACGACGTAACTAAGGCAACACAATAACAAACGAGGGTGGTCGTTGCCACCCCGGGACCGATTACTCTCGTTTGTGCGTAATACTTCATAGTGAACTTTGTTATTTTGAAATAAAATGAAAGCCAATTTAATCACTGTCGTGCCCAAAACATTGTGTCGCGTGCCATTGATGGCACATGTGTCACTGGTTCGCCATCCCTGGCATACGTTGTCAAACACTCGTACAAACAATAACCCGAAACAAATGAATGTGCATGGCTTACAATCGCACAAACAAGCTCGACCGACTACCGCTTTTTGACTGCATGGGTAATAATAATGGTGCATGGTGGTACGACAATGCCTGTAAGTGGGCAACAGTCTTCATATGTAGCCAGTTTACATATCGTACAAAATTCCTAGTTTTTTGGAAAATACAAACGGAAACAACATTTAACTTTCGAAATTATTCGAATTATGGTCTTATTAAGGCTGAATCGAGAACGAGACGAGGTCACTATTTCAGCCGTGGCCCTCCCAGGGCCAGACGGCCCATGCCTTAAGACGTCTCTAACCAAAACCACCTGTTACACTCCTAATATTCATATCTTCAATGCTGGTTTTATTGTTTATTTATTTTTTTATATCTCTATAATATGTAAAATATTTTTAAAAGTGATTAATAATTTCAAATGGATAATTTTCAAGATGAAATTCTTTAATGATTTTACGCGCTTATATTGAATTTAACATAAATGTAAAAGTTTATTTCACATTGATTGTCTATTCACTAATGACGCGTGGGTATTTTGAGGCTGTGTGAGGGCTATTGGCAACGAATCTCTTAAATTCGAGCCATCACAAGCTTGCTGACAATGGTGACTCAATTGACGCACCACTCTCCAAACATCAACACCATGCCAAAAAGTGAAATTTGATCTTCGACACATTTATGACGCTCATCAACCCCTCTACACGGCATGTCTTTAATGGCATTATGTTTCAAAATCCTGATTCAACAGAAACACCACCGGGCTTGAGTCCGCGATCCTAACCACTAGGCTACAAGATGAAGACAAAAAAAAAAGGAATAGTAGCAATTTGACGACTTCTGCTACTTATTTGCACCCTCTTTAAAGTATCCGACTATGTTCGGAACCGTGATTTTAAAAAAGCACATAAATGGATACTTTTCATGATATTTAGTGTCACCTAGATTAGAATACGTGTATAAAATTGTCTTAAGGACATTATGACGAAAAAAATTATTTAAATACAATATTTTAGCAAAAAAATTAACTTAGAATAACCTTTTTTCTAAACGTTCTCCTTTTATAAAAAAAATCCTTCTATCATAATATTTTGCTTATATATAGTAAATACTTCTCCAAAGAGTCTAAACTAGGAATTTTGAAAAATTCACATTATTTTCAGAGTTACCACCAATTAAAATAATTATCGGCGTTTTTTTTCTTAAAATTTCTTCCCTCTGTTTTCGTAAAACACGGATAAATCCACTTCTAAGTTATATATTTCAAACATTCTAGTTCAGCCTATGTATAGATGTCTGAGATATATGCAGGTAAAATATTATTATAATAGAATAATTTTTCATAAAACTAGAATGTTATGAATATGGGTCATTCAATGTTCATTTTTTGTTAAAATATCGTACTTAAATAATCTTTTATTGTAATAATATTCCTAAAACAATTTTATATATACGTTTTCTATTCTAAGTGACACCAAATATCATAAATATTATCCTTTAATAAGCTTTTGCAAAGTTACGGTTCTGAACGTAGTCGGATACCTTAATGACTTGTCTTGTAAGACAGCTGATTCATGTTAAATCAGTAGAGGACCTTGGTCATCTCATTGGTATACTGGGAAGTTCTGACCGAGATCTGACAGAGTTTGGGACTCATCCTCATTACCCGAAAGAGGTTGAAAGTTCCGTTGCCAACTGCTTTCGTGTAACTTCGAAATGCGACGCCAGTGAACAATCAATTGATCATTTAAACAAGAAAGTAATGTTTTTTTTTACATGAGGTTGCAAAGTGTTATACTTATCGTTGTAAATATTATCGCCCCGTTTAGCACATATTCCTTCTAAGCAAATAAAATAAATAAATCATGAAAATACTCTGAAGATTAACTACATGGCCTATAGGCACAAAAATAAAACTTGGCACAATTTTTCTTGAATGTAAATTACTTGTATATAACTTTTAATTAACTTGGTGTAATTTATTTTTGGAACTTAAATGCTACAATTGCATAAAATGTATTAAAATTTTGTTTCAAAAAAGATACATGAATAAAACATAACTTTAAGTTTGTATAAAATTCCGGATTAATTATTTACATATTTCAATAGATTACCGGGAAAAAATTAGCAACAGTAAATAAATAATTCAGTTTTGAAATTTTTTCGTAATTTTTATTTTATTTTATGCATTTTATTTGCATTTATTCCTAAACTTGAATATGTTTGATTTTCTTTACACATGCTCACTTTGTATGAGAATATCAACATGGTCATGGAAATACTTTAGATTTCTTCGCTTAAAGAAATATCATTCACATTCTTAGAAAAAATTTTCTGTACATTTAAAATTTTTGAAAACCAGAAATCAATGGAATTTGAATATATGGATTCAGGGAAAATTTTCTGAATCCATATATTCAAATATATCCATAACACTGAATCCATATACTGCTAACGCATATTCATGTATTCATTTTATTTTTGACAACAGCAGTATTATACCGAAAACATCGGTTCTCGTCCGATCACCGAAGTTAAGCATCATCGGACGCTGTCAATACTTGGGAGGGTGACCACCTAGGAACACCGCATGTCGTTGGCATCTTAAGTCGACCATCCGGTAGAGTGGTTAGCGATGCTGACTGCTGTGCCGTAGGGCCTGGGTTCGAATCCCAGACAAGACATAGATGTATGTAAATGTTTTGTGCATTTGCGGTATAGGGGTATTCTATATAGCCGTCGAGCCGCAAGTCCTCTCGTTGGGAAGGGGAAGAGAGGTGAGAGACCCTTGAATCCCATCCCCCGGTGTTCTCCCTTTAAAATTGGGTGGAACCGAGCGAAATCGTATTGTCACAAGTGCTCTCAAGGCTACGGCCAACGACAGGCGTACATCCAGCCCCTTGCCATGATGAATTTCGTGGGTATAGAGCTGACGCAGTCGATATCAGGTGGCATAAGAAACAACAACACAACAAATTATTTTTATATTTCATGAATGAAAACTGTAGAATTTTTTTTTCTCTTTTTTTTTAATTTTGCATGAATTCATTACTTTGTTTATTTTCGTTTGATGCTAAAATATCTCCTTCAAATCCATTTTTTTGACAGGTTTTCAGTGTTTTATCCGTTTTTTAATTCTTTCATAATTTCCTCTTCTTATTTCACTAATATTATTTTATACTTCTTTATATTTTATAAAGAACATATAATTTAAACGAAAAAAAAATGCATATTTCTATGCAAAATGAAGTAAAACCACAAGTATTTCTCAACTTTATCACTGAGTGACGAAATGTGCAATTAGATTTTAAAAAAAACTGTGAAAATTTATCGTTCCATGATACATTACTATTATTAAGAAGACATATAAGTTCTATAACTCTTATTAGCACAAAACGGAAGCGAAAATTGCTCTTTCAAAACTCTTTCAGAGTTGTAAAGGTCAACCCCCTACTAACTTCCAGTCTTTATTTTCCCTCCTTTACTTTCCATTCCTCCCTCCCTCCTCTGTCCCTTCACTCGTTTCAACAACACACGCACAACGCAACAGCGCCCCCTGGCGGTCGCAGAAACCGGCACGCGCGCTCGTTTCCGATTTTGTTCGGTGTCAGTCGGTGTCTAGAAAGCGCGACGGATCCTTCAAAACGCCAACCACATTCAGCGCTCACAAAAATAAAAGACTCGAGTAGGGAGAAAAAAAGAAAAATAATAACAAAAAAATAAAGTGCAAAAGATAAAAAAAAGTTTATGTAAAAAAAAGTTCCATGGAAGCTTTAGCCATGCGACGGATTTTTAAAGACGTGAATATCGTTTGCTGCTTTTTTTAAAAAACAAAAAAGTGGACATTTTTTTTTCTTGCAAGTAGTGTTTTAATTGGGATTGTTTACACTTTTGCGGAGGCCGGAAGTGATGTCCCAGTACCGGAAGGAAGGGAGACAGGTGAAAAAATGCAAGAGCGCGACTTTTCAACTGGATGGATTTTGCTACACTATCGGTGAGATTGATTGTTTGCATTTATTTTTTGTAGAACATAAATTGCAGTTGTTGATTTAATGTAATATTTTTTGCCTATTATCGTTTTGCAGTTTATTATTAATTTCAGATGTCAGCATTTATGTGCATAGTTAATTTTCTTTGATAGTTCTCAATATTTTATAATATAAAAAATAAATAAATAAAGCTGTCAATTTAAAAAAAAAAAATGTTAGAAAATACCCTAAAAGAGTATAATTATTTTCATTGTTTTCCTTTATAATTTAACTGAATGCATAAATAAGGTTATCTCCAAAAGACTTCATAATATAACAATAATATATAAATAAATCATTTTTCTTATCAACAAATTAATTTTTGTTGAAGAAAAAAATTTAAAAAAAAAACATTTAATTTTCATTCAATAATATTATATCTATATATCATATTAAATTATGCAAAACTAGTAGACTTTCCTCTGTTCTGCGATATCTGATTTTTTTTTAAAAATTAAATATTCTATTTTCCTTAAGCCTCAAAATTTCCTCAAACTTAACAAAACTAATAACTGATTTAACATAAATTTTATACATTTTCAGATTGAACCTTTTTGCTTTTGTATACGTACTTTTTTGAGACATTTAAATTTATTGCAAACCCAAGAATACAGTTTTGAAACATTTTCGAACAAAATATTAAAATTAAATTATCTTTTCTCTGCAACTTGTCTGGTTTGATAGTACCGAAATTGTTTTTCTTTTTCCACGTCCGCTTTAGCTACATGAAATGTTATTGTCACTATTCCACGTATGCAAACAATCGTGGAAAATATGCAATTTTTTTTTTTTTTTAAATTTCAATTGCAGAGTTGAATTGCAGCATTTTATGTTCTTGTTGGTTATTTATTATATTGTAGTTGCGTCCCTTACAAAGAATATATTTCCCACAAAAATAGTAAATAATAAATTCTAGTATTTTTATAAAAATTCAAAAATTTTTGAAATATATGTCTATTATTTATTTCTGTCGAAGGAAGAGGTAATATATCACTAATCGGAATAAAATGATCAAATTTTTGCGCATGCGCTAGCGAAATGAATTGCCAAAGGCTTCATTTGGAAAATACATTTGATGAGTACTGCGGACATAATACTTTTTACATTAGAAAATAGTTTGAATTAAAATTCTTGAAGTAACAAAACAAAATTATCTACTGATTTTATTCCTAAGTGTTGAATTATAAATAATAATTTTTAAATTATATTAGAGAACAGAATTTCATATTTTATTTTTGGTTACTAAAAATTTTGAAATATGTTTATACCCCTGTCTAATAATATTTTCATCATTAAAAATAAAAAACGATTCTAAAAAAAGTTATGTATTAATGAATAATATATAAACATAAACATAAACAAAGACATTATTACAAACAAGAGGAAGAATTGCATGGTAAAATCAGTATTTTTCATTTATAAAAGACGCCGGAAAGAATCAAGTTAAGGCAATTTTACGACTTGCCCTAGATGAAGTATGTGTTAGTAGTTCGAAGTTTTGTTATGAATATTTGATTGTATCTCACCGCCTTAGGCAGTCTTTTTTTTCCAACCGTTAGCCATTACGCTTCTGAAAACGTTTAGGAAAAGACGAGTTTGGTAAAAATGGGGTTTCGGAAGACTTTTGGAAGTTTTTGATTAAATATTTAATCGTTTTCAGTTTATTTTGAATTTTCCGTAGGAAATACTTCTTTCGAAAAAACTCATTTAAACAGCTATATTTAAAAATACCACTTGTAAAAAAAGTGATATGCGGTTGTTTTTTTCGCTATTTCGCTGAATTTCTTTTCATTAAATATTTATTTTCTAAAGTTATTTTGGGAGTTATTTGTATATTTATAACATTATTTTTTTCGTGTTTATGTATTCCGTAGTTATATGATCTTTATGATGGACTATTTTATGATTTTTCTATGTTTAAATGATTTTTCTTCAGAGTGAGTATCCAATGGTTCTAGATTACATAATGAATGATAAAAAAATATTGTTTCTTTCACCTTTAAAACTGTATATATATATATATTTATGTATGTACATTCATATATTTGCTCACCGTATTAAACATTTTTTAAAACTTAAAATGCTCTATAAATATAAAATTATTATATATTAATATATAAATTTATCAAAATAAATTTTACGTGTTGAATTTAATGCTTATATGTTTTTCTTAAAAGTGGGAAAATTGACATTTCTAATATTCTGCGTCGTTGAAGATGCATTATGGAATATTAGATTTGAGAGTTCTGAGAGAGAGAGTTATGGTCAGTACAAGAACCTGCAAATGAAAATTCATTATTATTTGACTGTAGTTTGTCCACTAGTGCTGTAATTCATCTTTCTTTTTGCATAATCTATCTTAAATAATAGATTACTTAAAATCAGTAATATAATTCAAGAAGACTGTTCACAATGGATGATTTTGGGTTTCGAAACGCGCGCGAATGATGTTAAAACAATTACATCATCATCATTAATAACTGATATATACATTGTATCACTCGTTTTTAAAAATATATATGTATATATTCTTTAAAGATAATTTTGTAAAATATATTAATGAAAATGATAATTAATAATAGTAATAAATAAGAATAACTTTATTTTGCTTGAGTTTGTCTATTTTTAAATAATATTTTACCTAAGCGCAAGTGTTTTTCAGTTCATGTGCCTTACATTTTCTCAATATAAATTTGATGGAGCACGATTTATTTTGTGAATTTTTAACGTTATTAAAATTTTTATTCATTTTCTCAGTATAAATATATATATATATATATATTTCCTTTCATATCCATCATATTCCTTTGAAGGTATCTGTTTTTCGTTTACCGAAAAACATGCAAGTAACTATAAAACTTAACATCATATGTCGAAAATAAATAACCTACCATAATATCTTTTATTTGAAATTAAAAATTAGGCAAAACTATTTTCACATTTTTCTTAGTATTTTTTCACTAATGTAGCAAGAATCATCTATCTCACTTTTGCAATAGCATTTTGATTACTTTGATAGTGATATCAATAATACACTATTTTTTTTTACTTCATGAGCTTCCATCATGTGTTGTGTCGTACCATTAACAATGGATTAATCAAGGAAATTAAAAATTTTCAAAATAATTGATAATTTTATTGCATTTATAAAAATTTTGTTTTTATATTAATAAAAAAGATATGTTAAAAAATACATTTCACTACACACAAGTAAATAGTTTAGTTAAAGTAAGGATATTTGTTAATGTAGTTGCATCATATCAGCATGTTTCACTTTCATGAATTGCATGGATAAATAAAATAAACTTATTTGTTTATATTTTTCAAATAGATCTACAATTAGTGAATCTGCTGAAGATAATGTTTGGGGAAAATGCATCTTAAAAATTAAAACTACGTTAAAAGCATACTGTTCTTGCCGACTAGCCAATGTCTATCGGATGACGAAACTAGAAAAATATGCTTAATGAAAAACTACTTACTTTTAGTCGTTACTAATTTAAGGTACTTGCGTATTATTGCAACAATTGTCAACGTTCAAAATAACTCGTCAAGTTGGCAATCCGAATTT